GTCAAAGGTTTAAGGTTGGGTTTTATTGGGGAGGGGGGGTTGTTGTTTTTGGTTTTGTCTCACTTTCTAATGGCACAGTTATAAATGCCTTTTTTTTATTATTATTTGTTTGTTTTTCTACCCCTAAAAATAGGGACTAAAGTATACCACCTTTGATCTGGCAGTTTTGCAGAGGGACTATCATACATAGATAAGCCCCACTGACTCTTAGTGTGTCAGATCCTCCAAACCTTGCCTTGAGCCTGCTAAACTAGCACTATCATTTGTTGGGTTTCACTTCATCTCTCTGACTCAGAAGATCCTGAGTACACCTGACTAAATTCAAGCCTTTTGGCTGTGCTATATTTTCATAAGTGATTATAATTATGTTTCCCAGTTAATGACCTTTTTTCTTCAGTCAAGTCTATCCTGTATCATCATCCTTTTCCTGTACAGAATCAGCCTATATATATTTCCTCATGAGACAAGTTCTCTTCTGCTTTTATTTACCCTTTTAGTAGTTGGAGTAAAGAAGTATTTTTGCATGGAGGAGAAGGAGGTATATGCATTTGATCAGTCTTATATATAATTTATCTGGTTATAATTCATCTGTAGCCGAGGCCTATGGATCTTAGATTTTTATTTCAGACAGCATGTGAGTAGGTGTTTGGCTGAAAATTAATAAAACTTTAGTGTTTTGGCCCCAATCAGTAGATGAGGGTATGATTTTTGCAAAGATTGATTGGAAAAAAAGGAATGTGACTGAATCATTCATTCAACAATAAATTTAAATCGTTCTGGAAAAAAAAAATTTAAATTTAGCCGAAACCGGTTTGGCTCAATGGATAGAGCGTCGGCTTGGGGACTGAAAGGTCCTGGGTTCTATTCCGGTCAAGGGCATGTACCTTGGTTGCGGGCACATCCCCAGTGGGGGGTGTGCAAGAGGCAGCTGATCGATGACTCTCTCTCATCGACGTTTCTAACTATCTCTCTCCCTTCCTCTCTGTATAAAATCAATAAAATATATTTTAAAAATATATATATATTTAAATTTAGCTCATCAGGTGTTATATGCTTACCCAAAAGCTACTTATCTTCAACTCTGTTATTAGTAATACATCAAGCTTTCCCAATTCTTAGAATTTAGAAAATGTTTTACTCTTTCCATAATGTGTTTTTTATTAATGAAACCAGGGCCAAAGCATCTTTCAGAATAACTACAACTTTCTGGTAAACTCCTATTCTGCCGATAGACCCAATTACAAGTATAATTATTTTGCACAAAAATCCCCATCTTTCCTAGAATTGTGTGCTGTTAATCTCTATTCCTAGTTTATGGACTGGCAAAGTGAAGGTGCTCTGAAAATTACTGTGAACAGATTAACAATGGTACCATTCTCTTAAATTGGATATTTTCCCTTTTTTATGCTATGATCTAAGAGGTTTATGGTTTGGTGAAGGGATCTCTCCTTGGTATTAGGAAAATGGTGCTGACCTTGTGGAAATGGCCATCTTGACAGTCAAGGATAGCTCAAGAGAAAGGAGGGAAAGCAAGCCCATCTCTACACAATATTTTTCTAACATTACTGTAAGACATCTTCCTCCCTAAGACTAATAATTAAATATTTTGTTTTTAGCTCTCTTTCTGTTCAGGCACTGAATTTCCTAATTATTCTGTTCCTACCCTTCAATCACTTAAAGGTTTGGGCACCTTCTCCAAATTTCTAATTCAAAGGATTTTTGAGGGGTGGAGAGGAGGCCAGGATAATTGTAAAAGTATTTAAACAGTAATTAAATAGGTAACATTAATGAATCCTAGAGCCAGCCATTGATTTGAAGTTTTCTCTTTACAGCAAGCAGGAGGCTGGAAAAAAAATAAGAGTTGACTTTTACCCATCACCCATAATAATTGACATTAACTGATGGAGCTTGGTGGAGGCTTTCTTTCAAGGAACCTTTGGCTTGTTTTGTTATAGGCACAGGAAAACTCAAGAAGTATACACAGTGGCCCTCTAACAGCAGAATCTTTGTAAATGCTTTTGAGGATTCTAACACATGAATGTGTTATTCCAGCTCCAGATGAACAAAGTATTGGAAAAATGGCCACTGTAAGCACATACATGGAGATCATCTCCATCTGGGAAAAGGGGCAGATAATGGAATTCCCAAGATTAGAAATGTCATGAAGAAAGTTATAAACTTAGCTCAGAATATTCTACATCTTTCAGTATATAAACTTTAACCTAGGTTTCTCCTCGTTGCTAATCATAGAACAATGAACCATTTTTATATAGCACTTTCCAATAAGCAGAATTATTATTTTGCTTATAAGCCTATTTAATTCAACCTAAATAAGTAAACTATAATAGGTTTACTGTATGGCAGAAATACAACTTTTTGTAAATTATGCTCCTTATAATGAAGATCCCTTAGGAACATACTCACTTTTTCAGAACTATAAGTGTATAAATTGGGTACCTACCATATAGGTACCTACCTAGTGCTTCATTTGGATGTCTTCAAACAACTTTGTTAGCTGTGGGTGGGCACTTAGAATGCCTGGTATTTCCCATAGAAGGAGTTTTCCTTTAATCTGAGCTGTAGTTTGACTCCCTGGATGTTTTCTATGTAGACTGGTGGCTTCAGCGGTGACAACATTTCCAAATTTTTGTGTATTTGTTTTGCTGAGATGTTGAGCTACTAATCCAGGATGCAGAGGAAACCAGTAGTGGCTGCCTTCTGGGCACATCTCTGCTCTGAAGTGAAGCAAGATTAACTTCTTCCAAAAGTTCTTCTGTTTTTTTTACCTTCAGAGAGTTTATAAATGACTAGAGAAACAAGACGTCTCTTTAGCATTTATATTTCTATAAGGTAATAGCTCTGGCCTTGAATGTACATTAAATTGTATCAGAAGTGACTTTCAAGTCAGCTCTTAGCTAAATATTATTCAGGTTATTGGATGGCAGAAAATACCATAGTCATACTTTATAACTGGTAGGAGTCCACCTTGAAGGTGAGAAGGCTGTTTTTCTCTGTGAAATACAATTCTCTTTTGGCTCAACTTTGGTTCTTCATATAGAATACTAGAGGCCTGGTGCACAAAATTCATGCACTTCTGGGGGTCTCTCAGCCTGGCCTGTACCCTCTCACAGTCCCAAGAATCCTCAGGGGATGTCCAACTGCTGGCTTAGGCCCACTCCCCACGGGAAGTAGGCCTAAGCCTGCAGTTGGACGTCCTTAGCGCTACTGCGGAGGCTGGAGATGCTCCTGCCACTGCGCTTGCCAGCTGTGACCCCACCGATGCACAGTTGTGGCTGGGGAGGGACCGCAGGAGTGTCCAGCTAACAGGGTGTGTCCAGCCCATCTTACGCAGTCCCGATCAGCCAGACCCCATCAGAAAGCTAACCTACTGGTCGGAACATCTGCCCTCTGTTGGTCAGTGCATGTCATAGCAAGCAGTTGGGTGGCCTTAACATATCATTAGCATAGTATGCTTTGATTAGTTGAATGGTCAACTGGATGACCGGGACATTTAGTATAGTAGGGTTTTATTATATAAGGTTATATAGGATATTGAGACTTATAAGTTCTGGTAATATATTCAGATTCAGAATTTCTAGGAATTACTGTTTGTTTTGGTATGGTTCACCCTTTTTTCTCTTTTCCATTTTTCATAGTTAATTGATTTTTTTTTTTCATTAGAATAATAAGTGAGGTAACATGGTATTACATTTGGATTAGTTGACTTCATGATTGTGGTTTACAAATGGTAGTGGTATTATAGAATAATAAGCCTTTATTAATTAGAAAAGCAGGTTTGCATGTATTATGTTTTAATTCTTTGATGGTTTTGTTTTATGCCTTTGTTTTTGGTTTTTTAAAACAACTTTATATACTGTAAAATTGATTTAGATTATTAAGTTGATGATAGTTATCGTTTTTTAGATAAACATTTATAGTCTCATTGGAAGCCATACACATTCTCCTCCACCCAAGTTTTACTAACTTTATGTTCTTAACCATTGCTTTTAAGGACCTGGGGAAAATGAATAAAAATTTTCTTCTTTGATAGGTCTTATCATTTAAATAACTTTTCATTTCCCTCACCACACATACAGGCTTTCCATTTTTCAAGATTCCCCTAAAGTCATATAACAGTTACTATTATTTGCTCTGATGCTGTGCCTAGCTTTCCCCATCTCAGCATTCATTTCATGACCTTAAGTGAGTGCCTTGTTCAGGAATGGTGCTGGCTGAGAGGCAATTTACACAATCATTAGTGTCTTTTGTGGCAGAAAGAAACTTTTAAGAATGTTTCTTTTAAAATACCATAACAAGCACTGGCCGGTGTTGCTCAGTTGGTTGAGCATCAGCCTGTGCAGCAAAAGGTCACTGGTTCGATTCCCAGTCAGAGCACATGTCCAGGTTGCAGGCTCAATCCCTGGTCAGGATGCATGCTGGAGGCAACCAACTGATTGATGGTTCTCTCTCCCTCTCCCCCTTCTATCTCTAAAATCAATAAAAACATTTTTTTTAAGAACATAAAGTCATTTTTTAAAAAGAATGCTATAGTAATTAATATTTAAGACAATTCCCAGACAGCAAAAGCTCCTTTTCCCTGGCACTCAAAATTATACAGTAATAATGCTGAAATGATGAGCATTTTCTATTTTCGGAGGTTTGGCATCACAAGGAGAAAAGTACTCACACTTGATTTTTAAATAATCAGATATTATTAACCTAATTCTCAACTTTAGAAGTCCATCACCAAAAGTTTAATTAGAATTCTGCCAGGTTAGATTCACAGTCAATCTATAACATAAAATGTCTTGTTAAAAATAGAAAAGATCAGAGACCACTTATTTATGCCTGTCTCTTTTAAGTATTCAGGACATACTAGAATATCTACTCATCTTATTTTGTCAGACTGGGCCAGGGTTTTTGATCCTACCATCAGTGGAATTAGTAAATATTACAAGTTGTACATGTTTTGACTTGACTTAAATTTTTTTTCCCAATAGAAACTATGTTCCAACTTCCTGTCAACAATCTTGGCAGTTTAAGAAAAGCCCGGAAAACTGTGAAAAAAATACTTAGTGACATTGGGTTGGAATACTGTAAAGAACACATAGAAGTAAGTAGCATGCCATTTTTTAATTTTAACATGACTCAGCTTCGGATCCATTACTTTGTGTCAGCGGCCAGGGTGGTGAACTCTTAGGTGTGATTCTGATTTTGAACCTCACCGTTAGCTTCACCATAGCTTTCTCAATTAGCCTAAGTTGTTCCCTTCTTCCTAAAATGGGCTTTTTCATCTTTGCATCCTGAAGCAAAAGCAATTACCATTGAGGACATACACATCTCAGGCAATTTACTAGGCATTTAAAAAATTATCTCTAAATTTCAAGTCCTTAAAACAACCCCTGGAGGGACATATCTCCAATTTACAGAAGAAAAAACTGTAAGGAAATAGGTCCACCTCACAGCTATGCATGTGGCAGGATCTGTCTTTGGGACTCCAGAGCCTGTTCCCATTCTAATATACCTGAATGTTCTAGTTGACCTTCTGATTGTTGAGTCATAGTGGTTTGGGTGCTTGTTGTCTCTTTCATAGGATTTGAGCATTTTTGGCCCTTTTGACCCATCATAGACCATTATCTTCCCCTTGTATAACAGTTTGGACTTTACAAACTGATTTTCTAGCCTTTTATTCTATGAGCATTATAACAGCCCCGTGGAATAGCCAATGTATTGGTTTCTCCTTTTCCAGATCTCATTGCTCCGGGTCTTATGTTTAGTTGGTCAACAAAGCCTCTGGCAATGTTTAAAGCTGTGTTTCCCACTAGTCTTTAAGTCCCAACTGGTCAGGGATCAGAACTACCTTGTCCATCTGTATATCCCAGGCACCTAGTACAGTGCTGGGCACAAAATAGGTATTTAGTAAATGTTTGGATGGAATTGAGAGTAAAAAGCAATTTCCTTTATTCAACAGGTTTTCTTTTTCTGATTTCCACTAATAATAGTCTAGGGATTGATTATGTAGACTGAAACTTCTCTAGTTAAGTTATTCCCATCATGGATGACCTCTCCAACCCCTCAAGTTCAGGTAGATCTGCCTGATGAAATATCCATTCACATCACACTCAGTGAGATAATCTTCATAGAATAAATAATGCAAATAATGCTCCTTTTCTATCCTGCATGATTTTCCCCCCCATCATTACACCTATTACATATCCTGTAATTTACATGTATTTGGTTTTCCCACACTGAACTATGAACCTTTTAGGAACAAGGGAAATTATACCCTAAGACTATCTTCCTAGCCTGGGAAGATACAGGCCATTAAATTTTTATATGAGTATAAATTCAACATAATACTGTTTATTTTCTTTGGATAGCTTTCTTCCTTTTTGGGTTCAGAAATCTTCAGTTTTCTTCCCAATCTATTGTACAAAACCACAATATCATCTGTAGTGCTATAAGTGAACATTACACTCCATTTTAATACTACAATTGATGAGTTTCAGTACTCTAATGAAGGGTACTTTGGCATTTAATCTGTGGCTAAATTTTTTAATTAAAACTTTCAGTGTTTTCCTTGGAAACTGGCTGATCATTAGGGGAACATTTGGTTGATATAAAATGTTCGATCAACTTCCATGTGCCTTTTTGTGTTTCCTAAGAGTCTTCTGGCGCCTAATTTAGCTCTCAGTGGGGTTGATTTTCTGGTACATCACTCCAGCCCTATTTAAGAGAATGGATAAGGTTTGGCTAGAGTTGATACAACTGTGTTTTTGTAAACTTCTTTCACTGTTTTCTAGGATTTTAAACAGTTTGAACCTAATGACTTTTATTTGAAAAACACTACATGGGAGGATGTAGGACTTTGGGACCCTTCACTTACAAAAAACCAGGTAAGTGGGACAGGTATACTCCCTTTTCAGCCCTAGGCCTTTCATAGTGGAGAATGTCAAAATGATTACAGTCGTGTGCCATGTAATAATGTTTTTGCCAATGGAGTGAATATACAAAAATGGTCCCATAAGATTATAATAGAGCTGAAAATCCTGTCGCCTAGTAAAGTTGAAGCTGTTGAAAGATAGTAATTAATGCATTACTCATGTGTAATGCATTACATAATGTTGGTGTAAACAAACCACTGCCAATCATAAAAGTATAGCATAGTCCTAATCGAGTGGCTTGGTGGGACCATCATTCCATACACCAAAAGGTTGCAGATTTGATTTCTGGTTAGGGCACATAACTATGTTGGGAGTTCAAGCCCTGGTCAGCATGCATGTAGAAGACAGCCAATCCATGTTTTGTGCTTTCTTTTCTCTCCCCCTTCCCCTCCCCCTCTCTCTCCCTCTTCTCCTTCCTTCTCCCCTTTCCCTCTCCACCCACCCTCTCAAAATCAATAAAAACATATCCTTGGGCGAGGATTTAAAAAACTGTATGTACAAAATATTTAATAATAATAATTGATTTATATGTTTACAGTGTTATACATTTATTGTTATTTGAGAGAACATTCTTTCTACTCACAAGAGTTTGCTGTAAAACAGTATGCTGTGTATGCTACACCAGAAGCAGATTCGTACATCTGTTTAACACAGCTCTTGATTGCATCATTTCTCTTGTGCTTGATTTAGTCTTGTTTTATTTATCATGACCCCTGAACATACAGAATCCATTGCTGATGTTGACAGTGAGAGGCCATGTCCAGTGATTAACCTGGAAATGAAATTAAGAGTGATTAAGGACTATGAAGGTGGAAAACCAGCGATGGTTATTGCTAGGCAGTCAGACATGTCCCATTCCACCATAGCTACAATCTTGAAGAATAAGAACAAAGTGACAGAAGCTCTTATAGGATCTGCTTCATTGAAGGCAACGAGATTAACAAAAATTCAAGAAGGGCCTATATCAGATATGGAGAAACTTCTAATGACCTGGATTGAAGACCAGACACAGAAGCTTATAGTTGTCAGCATCATTACAATCATGGCCAAAGCAAAATGTTTGTGATGTTGAGTATACTGCTAGCTCTGAGTAAAGGATTCAGGAATAAATCATCATTCATTGCATAATGTGAAAAAGTGAGTGGTGAGTCTGCCATTGCTGGTGTGAGGGCAGCAGCAGAACTTTTGGAAACTATATAAACTGATTGTAGAAGAAAATTACTTGCCAGAGTAAATAATTCTATATGGATGAAATCTCCCTACTCTGGAAACAGATGTCTGAAAGGTCTTCAGTCCATAAGGCGGCCAAGTCAATGTCAAGTTTCAAGGCTTTAAGGACAGAATAGCAGTCTTGCTTGGGGGCAATGTTGCAGGCTACAAATTGGAACCTTTGTGATCTGGCACACAGAACCTCAGGGTCTTCAGCCATATCAATAACATACACTGAGAGTATAACACAGGAGCAATAGGATGTCATGGATGACCCAGCTTCTCTTCCAAGATGCCCTCCTGAGTGGCTACAGCAGCAAAATGGAGAAATACTATTTGAAGAATAACATACCTTTCAAGGAACTTCGTTTTCTGTTGATTATGCTGCAGGACATCTTCCTTTTATTGGTGATCTTCACCCCAACATCAAAGTGTTTCTCCCTCCAAACAATACCTCTTTGATTCCACCAGTGGATCAAGGAGTTATAGCTGCTTTTAAAGCCAGGACCTTTGCCCAGGCTGTTGCTGCAACAGAAAAACACTGAGAATATACTGATGAAATTCTAGAATTATTACAATATCTATGACTGCATAAGAACCCTGCTTAAGGTGATGTCACTTAGGAATATACGAAAGACATCTGGAAGAAGACACGCAAGAAGTCCATCCATACCTTCAAAGGATTTGTCAAGGATGAGGATATTGCAAAAATCAATCAGGCTATGGCTGAACAGTGGCAAACCACTTTAACCTGTGTATGGATAAGGATGATGTTGAGTAGCTCCTAGAGGTGATTCCTGAGGAATTGACTAATGAGGACTCATTAGGCGTGGAACAGGAACAAATCGGTGAAGAAAAGGAAACTGCAGAAGAGATGCACATTACTGCCCCTGAAGACCTTCCAATGGGACGAGATGTGGAGGTGAAAGACAGTGATGTAGATGACATTGGATAGGGCAAGACTAATGTGTTTGTGTGTTTAACAAACAAAGAAAAAGTTTATGAAGTATTTTTAAAAATTAAATGGAAAAAAACAATAAGGATATAAAGAGAAATAATTTTTATACAGCTATATAATGTTTTTTATGCTTTGAGCTGTTATTTTAAAAAGTCAATAAGTTAAAATGTTTAAGTTTATAAAGTTATAGTAAGCTGTTTAATTTATTGAAAAACTTTTTAATGAATTTAGTGTAATATGCATGTGCAGTGTTTATAAAATCTATAGTCATGTACAGTATATCCTAGGCCTTCATGTTCACTCACTCACTGACTCACCCAGAGCACCTTCAGTCTTGCAGGCTCCATTGTTGGTAAATGCTCTCTATACAGGTTTACCATTTTTTTTTATCTTTCATGCTATATTTTTATTGTACCTATTCTACGTTTAGATACCTGTTTAACCACTGTGTTACAATTGCCTGTAATATTCACTATAGTAACATGTTATACAGATTTGTAGCCTAGGAGTAACAGGCTGTATACCATTTAGCTCAGGTATATAGTAGGCTATACCATCTAGATATATGACTAAGTCTTCTAATGATATATTTCTCAGAACATATATCTGTTGGTATTGTGATGCATGACTTTTATATTTTCTTTAGTAGGGAAAACTAGAAAAACGTCGTGTCTTTTTTGTCACTGGACTAACACTTCAAGTGTGAAATTTAGAAGTTTTGTTTCTTAAAGTTCTGAGGCCCGTTTTATGTATATCAGCATTTTGCCCTCCCCCAAAAGTACCACTACTATTTCTAAAATTTTCCCTCCAGTATTCTGTTCATCTCTGTTATCCATCGTTTTCTGTTGCAATTCTTGTTTTTTATAGAGAGGAGGGGAGACCATACTCTTTCTTCCTTTTAAGTTTTCTTACTCCTTTTTGTTGATCTCACCCCACCTCAATGTGGGGGACCTAAGCTAGCACATGGGGGAGGGTTTGGTGGTTCTGTAAGATAGCAGTGACTGAGAGGTGTAACATAAGTTTTTTGTTTTTAATATATTTTATCGATTTTTTACAGAGAGGAAGGGAGAGAGAGAGTTAGAAACATCGATGAGAGAGAAACATCCATCAGCTGCCTCCCACACACCTCCCACTGGGGATGTGCCTGCAACCCAGACACATGCCCCTGACCGGAATCAAACCTGGGATCCTTTAGTCCACTGGTGACATTTATGACACAGAGAGAGTTAGTAGATAGTATTTCCTTTCTACAGGAAAAATCGATTGTCAGTTGTAACTTTACAATTACCTCTTTCAGTAGGAATTATAATTCTGGATTATTGATCTGTTCATGTATTGGAACATACTTGGCAAGGAATTAGTACTTTTAAACTCTTCCTCAGAAATTTGATACAGTTATCTGTTTTTTTCTTACTATTAATTCCACAGGAAAAGTTATTAACCAACAGTCTTAGAATACAAAAGCTTCCAAGTGGGACATATTATCAGTTTTATGAATCCCCAAAGCCTCACATTCCAACACTAAAGAAGGGTTGAGACTTAAGGGAAAGTGGAATGTTTTATTTTGATTCAAACCAGTATCTTAAACAAAGTAGGCTTCTAAGCAACTCGTGTTTCACCTGACCTCATCAAAGGACCAAATTGCTACACAGGTGTCAATGAGCATAATTTTGGAAGATGCTCTTTGATACCAGTGCTTCTGGCTTTTGATAACATCATTGGCTCCCCAGTTTGTAGGACATTTTTTATTTTACTTCTTAATTTGAATCAAAGAAGCTGTCAATTCATTACTACTTTTGAGGCTGCTCAAGAAGAGCATGGTTTGTAGAAGAAAGCCTACTTTCAGATCAGTATTTTGATGAGCAGTGAAATCTGAATACTATACTGGACTTCAGTCAGAGGAAAAAATGAGATTATTGAAGATGTGTCTTTTTTAATGAAAATTTTTCCATGATGGGAAGGATAAAAAGTGTGCCTTTATATGTTATTGCTTAATTTTACTACAACACTCTGGGCTTTGAATTTTATTCTGTAGTAAAACTGGAACCTTACTAATTCACAGAGTGAAAGTAACTACACAGTTTATTCTTGTAATTTCTAACTATAAACCATTTATCTTCAAACCATTCAATAAGCAAATGTGACTCTGGTCTTACCCAAGCATTGAGGAAGAACTTAAAATTGAGAGTTTTTTATTTTTTAATTTTCAGTGTGAAACAAATTTAGTTTACAAGAGCTTTCTCATTTGACTTTGTTTCATAAATTTTTTTGCAAAAGAAATCAATACTTTACCAGGTGTACTGGTTAATAATGCGGATTTTTTTAATAGATGGGAGTTAAAACATACATTGATATATATGCAATTTGATGTGTAGTCTATTTTGTTGTATTGACAACAAGCTTCAAACTTCATATGTCAAATTTTCTGAAGATGTTAACATCATAGATAATTTTACGCTTAAAAATGTTAGATTTTGTGCCAAAGAGCATTTGTGGGAAGTTTTAATTCATTACTTTATTTTGAAGAAAAGTGCTGCTGAAAGTTATCGTATACTTCGGGAATCTTATGGTGAACATGCTCCATCTCAGGACACTTGTGAACACTGTTTTAAACGCTTTAAAAGTGATGATTTCTTTGTGAAAGACAAAGAGCGTCCAGATCAACCAAAAAAGTTTGAAGACCAACAATTACAAGCATTATTGGATGAAGATGCGTGTCAAACTCAAAAACAACTTGCAGAAAGATTAAATGTTTCTCAGCAAACAAGTTCTGATCGTTTACAAGCAATGGGAAAGATTTTAAAGGAAGGAAAATGGGTGCCACATCAACTGAATGAAAGACAAATGGAAAACAGAAAAGTCATCAGTAAAATGTTGCTTCAACGACACGAAAGAAACTCTTTTTTGCATAGAATTGTGACTGGTGATGAAAAGTGGATTTATTTCGAGAATCTCAAATGCACAAAATCATGGGTTGATCCGGATCAACCATCAACATTGACAACATTGCTTTGGAAAGAAGTCAATGCTCTGCATTTGGTGGGATCAGAAAGGTGTGGTATATTACGAGCTTCTAAAACCAGGTGAGATCATTAATACTGATCGTTACCGACAACAAATAATCAATTTGAACCGTGCTTTGATTGTAAAACGACCAGAATGGCCCAGAAGATATGGCAAAGTAATTTTGCTTCATGATGATACACCCTTACACACTTCAAAACCAGTTAAAGACTTGTTAAAAGATCTTGCCTGGGAAGTATTAACACACCCACCATATTAACCAGACCTTGCTCCTTCAGATTACCACTTGTTCCGATCGATGGCACATGCACTTTCTGAGCAGCACTTCAGAACATACAAGTGGAAAATTGGGTATCTGGATGGTTTGCCTCTAAACAAGAAAAGTTCTATAGGGATGGTATCCACAAATTACCTGAAAGATGGGGGAAATGTGTAGCTAGTGATGGACATTACTTTGAATAAAGCGCTTTTGATATTTCTCTTGAAATTATCGTGTTTTCTTTGATTACAAAATCCGCATTATTAACTGGTACACCCGTTAGAGTTTCAGTTCTAAAAATAATGTCTTTTAAGAACAAGAACCTAGAACCTGTTATTGCCTATCTGAAGTGGCATTCTGATTCCAGTCTTGTCTTTTCTTTAGGACTACCGGACAAAACCTTTTTGCTGCAGCGCTTGTCCATTTTCTTCAAAATTCTTCTCTGCCTACAAAAGTCATTTTCGGAATGTCCATAGTGAAGACTTTGAAAATAGGATTCTCCTTAATTGCCCCTACTGTACCTTCAATGCAGACAAAAAGACTTTGGAAACACACATTAAAATATTTCATGCTCCAAATGCCAGCACACCAAGTAGCAGCCTCAGCACTTTCAAAGATAAAAGCAAAAACGATGGCCTTAAACCTAAGCAGGCTGACAGTGTGGAGCAAGCTGTTTATTACTGTAAGAAGTGCACTTACCGAGATCCTCTTTATGAAGTAGTTAGGAAGCACATTTACAGGGAACATTTTCAGCATGTGGCAGCACCTTACATAGCAAAGTCAGGCGAAAAATCACTCAACGGTGCTGTCCCCTTAAGCCCAAATGCCTGGGAAGAGGGTAGTATTCACTGCAAGCGATGCCTTTTCATACCGAAGTCCTATGAAGCTTTGGTGCAGCATGTCATCGAAGACCACGAACGCATAGGCTATCAGGTCACTGCCATGATTGGGCACACAAATGTGGTGGTTCCCCGATCCAAGCCTCTGATGCTAATTGCTCCCAAACCTCAAGAGAAGAAGGGCATGGGACTCCAATCAAGAATTGGTTCCCTTGCTTCTGGAAACGTCCGGTCTTTGCCTTCACAGCAGATGGTGAATCGACTCTCAATACCAAAGCCTAACTTAAATTCTACAGGAGTCAACATGATGTCCAATGTCCACCTACAGCAGAACAATTATGGAGTCAAATCTGTAGGCCAGGGCTATGGCGTTGGTCAGTCAATGAGACTGGGTCTAGGTGGCAACGCACCAGTTTCCATCCCTCAGCAGTCTCAGTCTGTGAAGCAGTTACTTCCAAGCGGAAATGGAAGATCTTTCGGGCTTGGGGCAGAGCAAAGGTCCCAGGCACCGGCACGATACTCCCTGCAGTCTGCTAATGCCTCTTCTGTCTCATCAGGCCAGTTAAAGTCTCCTTCCCTCTCCCAGTCCCAGGCATCCAGAGTATTAGGTCAGTCCAGTTCCAAACCTACTGCAGCTGCCGCAGGCCCACCCCTAGCCAATACTTCCTCAACCCAGAAGTGGAAAATATGTACGATCTGTAATGAGCTTTTCCCTGAAAATGTCTATAGTGTGCACTTCGAAAAAGAACATAAGGCTGAGAAAGTCCCAGCTGTAGCCAACTACATTATGAAGATACATAATTTTACTAGCAAATGCCTCTACTGTAATCGCTATTTGCCCACAGATACCCTGCTCAACCATATGTTAATTCATGGTCTGTCTTGTCCATTCTGCCGTTCAACTTTCAATGATGTGGAAAAGATGGCAGCGCACATGAGGATGGTTCACATTGATGAAGAGTTGGGACCTAAAACCGATTCTACCTTGAGTTTTGATTTGACATTGCAGCAGGGTAGTCACACTAACATCCATCTCCTTGTAACCACATACAACCTGAGGGATGCCCCAGCTGAATCTGTTGCTTATCATGCCCAAAGTAACCCTCCAATCCCTCCAAAGCCACAGCCAAAACTTCCGGAGAAAGCAGATACTCCTGTTAGAAGTTCACCTCAAGCTGCAGTACCCTATAAAAAAGATATCGGGAAAACCCTGTGCCCTCTTTGCTTTTCAATCCTAAAAGGACCCATATCTGATGCACTTGCACATCACTTACGAGAGAGGCACCAAGTTATTCAGACGGTTCATCCAGTGGAGAAAAAGCTTACCTACAAATGTATCCATTGCCTTGGTGTGTATACCAGCAACATGACTGCCTCAACTATCACTCTGCATCTAGTTCACTGCAGGGGTGTTGGGAAGACCCAGAATGGCCAAGACAAGACAAATGCACCCTCTCGGCTTAATCAGTCACCAGGACTGGCACCTATGAAGCGCACTTATGAGCAAATCGAATTTCCCTTGACGAAAAAGCGGAAGTTAGATGATGATAGTGATTCACCCAGCTTCTTTGAGGAGAAGCCTGAGGAACCTGTTGTTTTAGCTTTAGACCCCAAGGGTCATGAAGATGATTCCTATGAAGACAGGAAAAGCTTCCTCACAAAGTATTTCAACAAGCAGCCCTATCCCACCAGGAGAGAGATTGAGAAGCTGGCAGCCAGTTTATGGTTGTGGAAGAGTGACATTGCTTCCCACTTCAGTAACAAGAGGAAGAAGTGTGTCCGAGACTGTGAGAAGTACAAGCCTGGTGTGTTACTGGGCTTCAACATGAAAGAATTAAACAAAGTTAAGCATGAGATGGATTTTGATGCTGAGTGGTTATTTGAAAATCATGATGAGAAAGATTCCAGAGTTAATGCTAGTAAAACTGCTGACAAAAAGGTCCACCTTGGGAAGGAAGATGACAATTCCTCAGACAGTTTTGAAAATTTGGAAGAAGAATCCAATGGAAGCGGTAGCCCTTTTGACCCTGTTTTTGAAGTTGAGCCTAAAATCCCTAATGATACTCCAGAGGAGCATATACAGAAGGTAATTTCTGAGGATGCTTTAGAATCTGAGGAAAAGCTAGACCAAAAAGGTGTGGATGGTTCAAAATATGAAACTATTCATTTGACTGAGGAACCAAACAAACTAATGCATGATGCTTCTGATAGTGAGGTTGACCAAGATGATGTTGTGGAGTGGAAAGGTGGGGCTTCTCCATCTGAGAGTGGCCCTGGTTCCCAGCACGTGTCAGACTTTGAGGACAACACTTGTGAAATGAAACCAGGTACCTGGTCCGATGAGTCTTCCCAGAGTGAGGATGCAAGGAGCAGTAAGCCAGCTGCCAAAAAAAAGGCTACCATGCAAGGTAACAGGGAGCAGTTGAAATGGAAGAATAGTTCCTATGGAAAAGTTGAAGGGTTTTGGTCCAAGGACCAGTCACAGTGGAAGAATGCATCTGAAAATGATGAGCGCTTGTCCGGTCCACAGATTGAGTGGCAGAATAGCACAATTGACAGTGAGGATGGGGAGCAGTTTGAGAACATGACTGATGGAGTAGCTGAGCCAATGCATGGCAGCTTAACTGGAGTTAAACTGAGCAGCCAACAGGCATAAGTGACCGGTTCTCGGACATCGGGGCCAGGTTCTCTGGCATCAGTGACATATTGCAGCCTGGAACTCTGTTCTTTGAGTATGACTGCAAAACTATCTGGTACTGCCTTCTGAGTTGCTGGGTCATCAGGCTGTAAGGACGTGTGGCCACTGCAATCCCGGTGGTTATTTCTATGATACATGACTGGCTGATTTGCTTTAGAACTTGCTGTGGCAGACACAGTAACTAAATGTGAAAAACCAATAAGCTGGTGGCTCACGAAATGCACACAAGGAAAAGCAGAGGTTTATTTTATCTGCCTTCTCAACATTTCTTTCCCTCTGTAAAATGTTTGGTTGAATGTCCTTAAGAAGTGTTACCCTGATTCACATGGTAGCAATAGGGCCAACATACAAGCTACCAATCCAATGTGTATAGTAGACTGGGGAAAATTGATTTTTTTTTTCATGTATTCATTCTGAATAGTTAAAATGTATATTTGTACAGTCTTTTAGACCTATTCAGGTAATGCTTATGATATTGTTATTGTGTACCCATCATAGATGTTTCTTTTTTAGTGTTGCCCTTGCTGTGTAACAAACGCTGTATCTAGTTTACCTAGCAAAAGCTTGAAACTACGCTAGTATAAAATTTTGAACAGACTTAGTTTTTGCACATAACCTTGTACAATCTTGCAACAGAGGCCAGCCACGTAAGATATATATATCTGGACTCTCTTGTATTATAGAATTTTTTCTTGTTCTGAATATCCTTGACATTACAGCTGACAAACAAAAACTGGTATTTCAGATCTGTTTTCTGAAATCTTTTAAGCTAAAGCCACACGCAAGAATTGACTTTGCAGCTACTAATTTTGACACCTTTTAAGATCTGTATGAAAGTGTGTTGTGTTGAAGCAGCAAACCAATGAGTGCTGCATTTTGGATATTTAGTTTTATCTTTAGTTAAACACCACCTGGTGTATTCATTTATACCATTTAATATATGACACACTGTTGTAGTATGTATAATTTTGTGATCTTTATTTCCCTTTGTATTCATTTTAAGCATCTAAATAAATTGCTGTATTGTGCTTAATGTAAATATTTGCTTTATTACACATTACAGTCCTGTGTGTCCATTATGTCTTGTACCAGTTGATGCCATGGCTCTCTCTCTCATCCGAGATGGAGCCAAGGCCACTGAGGAGACTGGTGGAAGACCAAGATCTGCCACTGGCGTGAAGAAGGCTTTCAAGGCACCTGTTAAATTCTTTTTTCTTTTTCCTTTTTAACTGCTAAAATAAACATTTTTTTTCCAGTTCTCTTTTTGTTAAGGAGCATACCCTGCTCATATATGTAAATGTCTCGATGATAAAAGGATGTAAACATAAATTGGCATTAATTTGCAAGCAGAATCTTAATGCCCTGGTGTTCTTTATTCTAAATGAAGTAAATGTTAGGTTTCACTTTATGATGGGAACAATTGTACTAAACAGGAAACTACTCTCTTTTTTTATAACTCAACCACCTTGTTAATAAGGAAAAAGGCTTGGAGATCACCCATGTGGAGGGCTTTCAAGATGCAAGGAGCTGGTGTATTTACTATGCAAAGATTCCCAAGATCAACTCATACTAAAGAAGGGAAGTTACAAGGAGCAGAATTAGCCAGCATTTTCGGCGATTACAATGCTGATGGGATCCTCTGATCCATGCAGAGGCCAGAGGCTGGTTTCTATAATTTCTAAGACTTTCCGAAGGATTCATCTTGTTAATGCTTTTGTTACCTGAGTAGAAATGTGGCCAACCTCCCCTTAAAATGTTAGTCATGCTACTCCATACAGGAGAAAGCATAAAACTAGTTTTTATTATGAGGGTGGCATGGGGCCGATACAATTCTGTTACACAGGTTATAAGTTCTGTGGATGCCAGCTAATATTTAGGACAGGATATCCCCAAATAACATGGAGGTGGGGAGAAATGGCATTAAGGTGTATTACTTGAGGATAGTAATACCGGCTGAACTTAAGCCATCTGACTGTTTTGAAATTACTCTGCCTAGTGAACAGGTGGGAAGAATTTGGCCTGGGCTTATTACTCCTCCATGGAGGACTAATGAGAGACTTGTGCAAGATAGCCAGGGTGGGGGTTCCTGGTTGGGTGTTTGCGCAGAGACAGATGAGTGCTTTCTTGCTGAGGTGGTGGGAGTGCACTTGGTTGACATTCAGAAAAGTTTAGCCAACTAAGAAGGGGACCAACTGACGATGTTGCAGGAGCCCTGGAAGTGTCTCAATAAAAGCCATTTTAAAAGAACGTTGTTGCTTACTGTTTACTTTTGGAATAATCTGGAAATTAAGCTGTGGAAGTTGAACAATTCTTTAAATCTTCTTTGTAACAAGAAAGAATACGATTCCAGAGAATATTTGCCCTTCAAGCTTCTGAAGTCCAGCTGACTAGCACGGCTGTTCCCTTTTGAGCCCTGGGAAGCATTATCGTTGTCCCGTCTTTGGTTCCCTGAGCGGTTCCAGGGTCTCACACAGCTCTGTCCCCTCCTGAGATCCAAGCTGTGACGTATCTGTGCCTCTTATTGCCCGGTAGTTGTGTGCCTGGTCCAACTGCCTGGCCGTTGGTAAAAATGCACACTTTTTAAGAACAAATGAGTGCCAGTTCTGAGAGCCATCAGTGAAACACTTCACTGGAAGCCACTGAAGCGGCTTTTGCCAATGAGGACTGCCACATTATAGAGGGGTGCTTCTGCACTGTAGGCCACCAGCCCCAAACCTTCCAGGCGGGTTCCCCAAATCGCCTCTAGGTGGTTGCCTCTAAAGCGTGAGAACCACTTAGCTTGAGTGAAGTCTACTCTTGACGGACTGGGTTTCACAGAAGCAGCAGGCGCCCTCCAGCAATGGTCTCTTCTACCCATTGTGACCCCCGCCCTGTTTGCTCATGGGGTTGCCTCCACCCGCAGGCATGTTTCACCAGTGTCACGAGAAAACATCTGGAACCCCCAAAGGAAGTAAAAGGAGAGGCCGCGCCCACCATTCTGAAACAGTCCCCGGAAGGTGTTCTAGAAAAGTGGGTGTTCAGCTGAGATAAGCTCCTGGCCGTCAAACAGAAAAGAAAAGCTAGGCTTTTTCTGCCAGCAACTACTGGAAGGTTAGCTTAAAAGTACACTCAAACGTGTACCAAATGAGGGTCTCCATTTGGTAATTCTCTGCATCCTGCTACTTCCCGTCTACTTTAACATTCACTAACTCAAGTCTGGTGGGCACAGCTGTGTTCAGACTTAATCCTGTAAAGGGGAACTGCCTATCCCGAAAGCCATGATTTCAAAGTGCTCCAACTAGACAGGAAGGGAGCTGCGCTGTCATTGCCAGGAGAGGTGCAGAATCCTCGGCCCTATTTAATTAAGGTTCAGGTATGTGTGTTTCAGAATACAATGTACATCTGTGGTACACACCAACCCTCCCCCCACTCCCGGTACACCAGCAGGTCTTAGATGTACAGCCATTTTAACCTCTGGTTTTTGCAATAAATCTTACTGTACCTTTATGAATGTCTTAATACTAAATGAAACAAAATGGATAGCCTATTAATCAAATTGTCCACCTTTTTGAAACTGATGGGCTTTTCCAATGTGCTTGATGGGAAGTCTGTGTTGGCTGCCATCTGGGAGTGTAGGAATCGAACCGACCCTGCGTTGGAGACCTGCATAGCTTGCTGGTGGCTGCATCTGCCAGCACTGCTACATGGGCTTCTCTGGGAGGAGGGAACCAAGGGGCACAGACTCTGAGCCTGTCCTCCAAAGAGGGGACATCCAAGCCAGAGGAGTAGGGCGTTGTTCCCAAATGCCTGGAGCTCAGCGCACATCCTCCGTACGCATGTACTCAGCAAGTCCTTGCGAATGAACATGCTGAAAAGCATTCCTGGGACTTGCTGTGGAACACTAGATCCTAAGGCAGTTTGAGTCCTCCAGCCCCAAATAAAAGCCCTGTAAGGGGAGCATTCGCACCCAGTTTCAGAACGCGGAGGTTCAGAGAAGTAACCTGTACCCAGGCTGAGCCTGTGGTCCCTGGAATTCCCAACCACACGTGCAGCCTGATCTTGACCAAAAACGAGCTTCCTAAGAAAGGCTGGCTGTGCTGTGAATGCAGACACAGGAGCCCATCTCTAAACCTACACATGCTTTCCCTGACATCGTTCTCCGAGCATGCTCGCTCACGCTGTTGTCTTCATCATTTTTGCCACATCTGCCTAAGATTCTGTGTAGTTGGTATATTTCAACTCCCCTTTTTTTAAAAAGTTATCTCTGGAAAAAAAAAAAATCAACACCAACATAATTTGCCATTTAAGGAAAGCCTTCATAAAAATAAATCTAAGAAAGAAAGAACACTAAATTTCTGCCACCAGCCGGGACCGGTTTGGCTCAATGGGGACTGAAGGGTCCCGGGTTCGATTCTGGTCAAGGGCATGTACCTTGGTTGCGGGCATATCCCCAGTGGGGGATGTGCAAGAGGCAGCTGATCGATGACTCTCCTTCATCGATGTTTCTAGCTCTCTATCTCTCTCCCTTCCTCTCTGTACAAAATCAATAAAATATATATAAATTTCTGCCACCAATAACTGCTCGCTGAGGTCTGTGAGCATGAGACTTGCTCTGTTGGTTAAAAGGAAAGTCAGGGGTTCAGGTCACAAGGGCATCAAAAGGAGACTCTCCCGGGCCCCGCCAGGCCAGACAGCATTGGATGAGCCTCCTGTCTGTCTCAGTGCGGCCTGTTCCCGACCGCGTGCCGTGGCCCTGAACTAGAGGTCAAGGGATGCCTCTGGCTCAGAGTGCTTCCCGGGAAGTCTGCAGTCACCTGATTCTGGCTTTAGACTCCTTTTTTATGGACTAAGAATCTCCCTGGCAGATAACAGCAATGCCAACTACGGCGGTTGAAGCGAGGGGACGTGCAGGGAACCCACTGCCTGAGCGGGGAAGGCTGCTCACGGTATCAGCAAGGGCTCCGGTCCTTTTTTTTTTTTTTTTTTTAATTCTGTCACCCACACGGTCACCTTCATCCTAGGCAGGCAGCCCAGTGTTCATCGGCCCCTCCATTCACCTTCCCTGAGAGGGTTTCCCCTCCTCCTACGGAACAGGACTCAGTCCACTGACCACTCCAGAACAGGTTTCTGTGGCCCATGGCTTAGGCCAGCACGACCTTGGTGAGCTGCTGAGTGACAGACCAGTCAGCACCCATCTCTGAGCCTGAGGTGGAACCAATTCAGCCCAGTTCCACACCAAACTCAAGAAGGCGTGAGATGGATATTGAGGCCACCACAGGTTTTTTTTTTTTTTTCTTTTCTTTAGAATAATTTATTGATTTTCAGAGAAGGAGGAAAGGAGAAGAGACAAACATGGATCTGAGAGCGCAACATTGATCGGCTGCCTCCTACACACCCCCACCGGGGATCGAAGCTGAAACCAGCATGTGCCCTGACCAGGAATCGAACCTGAAACCCGAGTGCACAGAATAACACCCAACCCACTGGGCCACACCAGCCAGGGTGAGACCACCACATTTTCCAAAATAAAACCTTTTCCATGAAGTTTGAAAAACAGAAGGGACCTAGCTTGTTTGGCTCAGTGGATAGAGCGTGGGACTGTGGACTGAAGGGTCCCAGGTTCGATTTCCTGACAAGGGGGCATGCCTGGGTTGTGGGCTTGATCCCCAGTGGGAGGTGTGCTGGAGGCAGCCAATCAGGTATTATCTCTCATCATTGATATTTCTCTCCCTCTCCCTTCTCTGCAATCAAAAATATATTAAAACACACACATGGAAAGTGCAGTTGTTACGACTGAAAAGAGGTAGCAAATTCCCTTTTAAAAATCTCTTGACTGCTGTCCTTTAAAGGCCCTGATCCCAGCTCTGGTGGATGCCGAAGTCACGTGCTGTGACTCCTCCCCCAGGGAGGCTGATGGTACTGGGCTGCTGGGTGGCCCAGCTGATTCCAATGTGCAGCCAAGACTAAGATCCATGGTGGGGTTGTTTTTGTGGGGTTTTAAATGGATTTTAGAGAGGAAGGAGGGGAGAGAGAGAAAGAGGGAGATAAATATCGATTTGTTGTTCCAATTATTTATGCATTCATTGGTTGGGGACCCTGACTGGGTCCAATCCACAGCCTTGGTGTAGGGACGAGGCTCTCACCCAGAGGTGGGCAAACGCATTAGTCAACAGAGCCAAATATCAGCAGTACAATGATGGAAATTTCTTTTGAGAGCCAATTTTTTTTTTTTTCAACTTAAACGTCTCCTAACGCCACTTCTTCAGGCTGTGGAATTTTGTGGAAGAGCCACACTCAAGGGGCCAAGGAGCCACATGTGGCTCACAAGCCGTGGTTTGCCGACCACGGCTCTAACCAACCAAGCTACCCAGCCAGGGTG